TTGTGTACCTTTAACATGAGTTAAAGTCTTTAAGGGACCGGTACTCGAGGAGTTAAAGAATTTACAATCCTTCTATGAGCTGAGGGATTTCACAGGTGAGAAGTAGAAGCACAGAGACTTGCAGGAAACAAATCAGTGACAGAATCAAGGAAAGAACTGAGGAATACGTCTCCTGCACTTCCTTGGGGTTTTATTTGTGTGGTTTTCCCCCTTATATAGCAAAAATGGATGTTGCATGTCTTTGCGCCTCATAACACCTCATTCTCTTATCTATACATATGTTCTAATGTAGAATAAATAACATAGCTGAGTTCATAATATCCTCTTCCTTTCTTTTTTAAATAATTTCTTCATAGACTTGGTTATCCCAGCTCTGCTTCTAGCTGAGTGAATTGTCCTGATATGTTAGAGCAACAGATGGGTTTTCAGTGAAATACTGCAAAACTGGAGTTTAAAAGCACTCATTTAGGCATAACTGATGAATTTTCTTTTTTCATCATTTGAACAAGGAGATTCTCCCTGGCTGTCATGAGTGTTGCAGGTAGGTCACTTGCTGCTGCTCATTAAGTACTTTTCAAGCATCAGTGTTGTCCGTGATGACTCTTTGAGATTCTTCCTCCTTTTCTGGCCTCCAGGAAAAAATGAATTGGTTTGTTTCCCTTCTGATTTTAAAACTAGGGATGCTGAACCAATTAAATATTGCAAACTACAGTACCTCTCCATCTTTGAGGGCAGGTGAATCACAGAATCATAGAATTGTTTGGGTTAGAAGGGACTGTTAAGATCATCCAACCCTCCCGCTATAAGCAGGGACACCTCCCACTACAGCAGGTTGCTCAAAGCCCCATCCAGCCTGGCCCTACATTCCTATAGGCCCCCTTCAGTTACTGGAATGCCAATACAATGTCCCCCTTGAGCCTACTCTTCTCCAGGCTGAAGAGCCTCTGCTCTCTCAGCCTGTCCCCATAGAGAAGATGCTCCAGCCCTCTGATCATCATCATGGCCCTCCTCTGGACCCACTCCAACAGCTTGATGTCCTTCTTGTGTTGGAGGTCCCGGAACTGGTGCTTGGGATTCACTGGAGTCACAGGTGGACTCTCACAAGAGCAGAGCAGAGGGGCAGAATCACCTCCCTTGACCTGCTGGTCACACTTCTCTTGATGCAACCCTGGATACAGTTGGCCTTCTGGGCTGCAAGGGCACACTAAATTCTGGGCAATGCCAGTAGTTCATGGAGGAAACTGTTGAAATCTGGACTCTTATTCCTAATTACTGGTGCTGAGAAGAATATGTAAAAGCATATTTACAACATGCTTTACAATCCTGACGTGAAGTCCAGGATGACTGAGATCCATAGGAGTCCTGAATTCAGCCCAAGACTTTACCCATAGAAGGTAGGTAGCGATATGAAGGCCTTCATACCTCCACCTTGATACACTTCCCCATATAATATGTCTATCCATGAGAAGATGCCATCTGGCACATACTATGCATTTATGCACATCTGTTTTAGCGGCAACTGGCAGCAATGGTTGAACCCTAAGAGAGCTGTGAGGGTTGCAGCTTGCTGCTTGTGGGTTGCTTCTAGCAGCCGAGCCGCCATGTTGGCAGGCCAACTGTCAGCCTGCTGCCACCCGCTGCCTGGCGTGCCCTGCTGAAATGGCACATAGCAATGCTTGTTTTCATACTTCCTTTTTATGAATCTGTCAATAGAGCCAAACTGAAATATAGCACAGATTTCCAGTTCTGTACTCAATCCACCGCAGAGATGTTGCTTATGTTTGCGAAGTGCTCTTAGGCTGTGGGCTAAATGGTGCCCTAAGGAGGCCAAGGTGGTTTTCAGGCTTTCTAACACCACAGTGAATCTGCTTGTTAACTGGCGAGTTGCACTCTAATTAAAGACACTCAGTGAATTTTTGATGAAAAAGGCCCAATCCCCTTTCTCAGCACATATTTAACTAACTAAAAATGACAAAGTTTAATGCTGAATTCATATACTTAATATTTTAGAAAACAACTGCACGTCTGTTTTTAAAAACGCACAGTTCCAGCCTATTTCTTCACAGGGCTCTTTCTTTGGATTGTCATATTCTGTTGCATGCAAGGGATACTAGCATAATTTATGACAAACAAAGAGGAAACTCATTCACCTTGATAATGCCAAGTAACCACATGGTTTGAGTGACTAGGCACCTTTTCAAAAAACAACCAAATAAATTAAAACAAACAAACAAACAAACATTCCACAATGGTGACAGTGACCTTCCAGTTAAGCAGAAATGACAGAGAAGTCAAGGCTGACAGTTAATGCTTCCCACAAAATGACCTTTGCTGCAATTCTTACCCCTTGGCTGGGAATGATAAAATAAAAAGCACAGTGGTATGTATTTTTGGTGAAGATGCAGCTGTCATATCAGTGCCTCCACAGATCCAGTACCATGAACAGAAGTGGCAGAACTGCAAAGTCCTGACTTCCTTGGCAGCTCCATGTGCCAAGACTTGCAAGATTCAGTGGTGTTGCTCCTGCCAGAAAATGTTATTTTGTGGTTTTTAATTTGGCTCCTGAAGATACAGCAGCATGTCCAGACACTGCTAAAAATATTGTCCTTCATTTTCTTCTGGCAGGTTAGAGTTGTAAAAAAATATCTATAATGTATGAGTTTTTTTCTTTCCGGTTAAAATGTGCCACCCTTGAATTAAGAGCACAAGATTTTATTTATTTAACCTTGACACTTAGCTTATGATACTGCTGAATTTCCATCAGGCCCAGTACATCGTGGTGAAAGCTTTCCTAAAAATAGGAATTATCTGTTCTAATGGGGGATTGAGAATTTGACATAAGAAATAAACTATAAAAATGACACTTCTGTCACAGACCCAGTGATTTTTTTGGCAAAACCTCCTGCTGGATGGTTTGTGTCTGTTTAAATTGGTGGACTATATAGATGTCACTCTTTCCACCCAACTGCCAGTCTACTATTACTAAGAAGAAACAAATCTGATAAAACTTCTCAGTAAATTCAGTTCAGCAGTATTTACAGGTAACTGGACACTAAGTTACCCCAGGATGACCACGATAAAGCCAGGAATGCATTCTTCAAAGCACTGTTTCTCAAAGCTTTTGCAAGTACAATCCTTTTGACTGATCTCTGAAGGCCTGAGTAATGATTAGAATTTCCTGAGATGTGTTTTCTAATGTTTCAGAACCTCCTCGGAATCCTGTTGTAACACATGGTTTGAAAAAATTGTACTTCAAAAAAGTTTCTGGTGCACATCTTCCTTCAGAGATTTCTATGATTAAGAAACAGCTCACTGACAATAGTTTATTGGTTTATGCATTTCTGAAACCTTTTCCTCTGAGCAGGCTAAAGCACTTATCTTCACAACAGCTGTAATATATAGCCTAAGCTGTCAACCTCTAAACTGGATGAGAATGTAGAATTCAGTCAGTCAAAAGAGATTTAATTTTTATTTTATTGAGACAGGAGTACTGTCTGCATTAAAGCTTTGATGTTCCTAATGGAAGACAATCCTGAGGGGCATGGCTGGATTGCAGTTGTATTAATTTATAAAAACAGAAACAAACATCAAGGCTCATACACAGAAAAGGACACGCAGCCTCCATAATGGGACAAAAAAAGTAATAAATCTTGCAGCATGCTAACATCTTAGGTTGTGTGCTTAGACAACAGAGCTGGGATATTCTAGTATGAAGTATCTCTACAAGGCATTAATGAACTTGGTATATAAAGACTTTTTTATCAGAGTATTCTTCTATTGTCAAATTCTGAAAGTGATATATTAATAATAGAAGTGTGAAATTTAATGAAACACTATAGTGAACATCCTATTATGCAGGACAGGTGACATATATCAATACATTCATCAGTGAATTGTATTAGAGGATGAAAGAATGTATTTGTGTTCAGGTTGTTCTGAGAAATACTTTCCTATGATGAGAATTCTAATATCTGTCAATCCTTCATCATCCTTCTTCTTAACAGTCAAAAATGTGCAGTATGATACTGGAAACTTTCCTTTGTCGAAAGGGCTACTGGGTTTTGTGTTAAAGTGTATTAAATTTTCATCTTGTTTGTTTGCAAGCTTACATTGTTCTCTATTTCTTTAGTGTGACCTCTTAAAGGAAGATCCCTAAGAAAGAAATAGTTTTTAACCAGACAGTGTTTATTCAAGACTCCAAAGGAAGGTTAAGGAGATGGCAACTGACTCTAGAAGAAAAAGAAATTTCCTGGCTCGTTACTTCACACCTCATCTCAGAATTCTTGGCCTGGATTTTCTTTGGTGCTGAGTGCTCAAACATTCACTAACTTCAGAAATAGTAACAAATCTAATGTTGGCCTATATTTTCAAGATATTTTCTACTTCAGAAAACTATTTGAAATCTTTTTGAATTATCTGTGTGAACTTCTCAACAGTGCCAGACCGAACTCAGTTGAGCAGGAGTTGTGGAGGGGACATGTTGATGCTCTTATGATGACTGGTGTCCCTATGTGGTCATCACATATAAAAGTGAAATGCAATTGTGCTTGACAGGTGAGAACTACATATGTAGTGTAGGCAGAGTGTAAATACCTATGCTTGTTTTTCCCTTGAATTTTTGAGATGCATATCCCTGCCTCCCCATTCTCCAGCAATTGCTGGCTGTGTTATCCTAAAGCCAAAAACAGATCCCATGCTCAATGCTTTAATTTTCAGAGTGAAACAATAATGCACTTGCCTTCAGTGGCAGAATTCCCATTGACCTTTGTATAGACAGAGCTGTGCCTTGTTTTTAATTCTGCTTTTATTTGAGTGCATTATTAGATTTCTGTTCTGCCATCTTAGGTAATATTTGTTCCAGCTTTAAGTGACCATAGAAGACCTTTCTACAGCAAATAAGGCTTAACCGAGGCTTGAAATTTTAACTCTATGATTATCCATTACTTCAGAAATGCTAGTGTATACAACATACTATGTAGATGGAAGAACATTTAACCTACCTAGAGTCGGGTCATACTCCCAGATAAATCGTTTGGTCAGGAAGCGCACGACGAGAGCTGGAGGAATGAAAAGACGCACAAACCATCAGCTTTCCCAGTTAATGAAATTCTACCAACATTTTTTTTCTGTGTGAATGGTTCTTCAGCTTTGCTTATGGGGGCAGTTGAGACCTTTTCACTGTCTGTGGCCCACTTCTAACATTCAGAGGAGGGAAACAAAACAGGAAAAAACCACATTATAACATTAATCATTTACCCATGTAACAATGCTGGGAAAAGAATGCCAAGAGGCTTTCAATGGCCTCTAACTTTCTTTCATGTTGTTGTCTTCACACAATAGCTTTACTGTTAAAAAGACAAATCAGAATCTTATTTGGAATGCTTTGGGTTGGATGAGCAGATGAACTTTGGGGGAGGGGGGGAGAACATATTGCTTTTGCTGCTTTATGGGATAAGGGCTGGCAGTTTTTGAACCAGAATGCTTTTCAGCTTCAAAGCCAGAGGTGTTCATCATCATTTATGTAGGTTGCTCCAAAACTAATGCCTTTTATTTATCTCTATTAAAACTGCAACAGATATAAAGAGCACAATAACACTACTTGATAGAGTAAATTCTAAGCTACAAAACACCATTTTTCATCACAGTCTCTCCCATTAGATATGCCTTTTGCCAGTGATGAACAAAAGCCTGTATGCCATGCTTGTCAAAATTTCCACGGCCGCCCAAAACAAGCCTTGTCCTTCACATCACCACTGCTGAAATCCCCACCTCCTCACTGTGCTCACATCTGCTGTTTGGTCTTCATAAGCATTCAGCAAGTATCGATGAATGGATCAATGGGTGCCATTTTTTTCTGCATGGAGGAATTCAATTCTACACCTTTGCTTCACCCACATTTCCGTGTCAGATGACATTCTGTCAGACTGCCTCCCCCACTGCCAACTGGCACACAGCAACAAAATGTAATGAAATACTGTCCAGAAGGTTCAGTCTCTACTGTCATATCACCAACATCTCCCTCTCACATCATAAGCCAACACCATAAAATTGGAGGCATTACTTTCAGAGCAGCCTTCATAATTTCTGATAAACTTTCCCTGCAGATGTGAAACTTCAAAAGCTAAATATAATCGGCTGAATTGCTTCCTCTGTAGCTTGATATGCTTTCCGTGCAATAACTTGCCTTCAGTATTTTCCCTACTTGCCACTGGAAGTGATCAGCTATATTTAAATTCATGACCAACAAATGCAATTAATGAATTCACAGAAATAGAAATAATGTTTTGGATTTTGGATGGGATAATTAGTTCTCAATTTCAGTTTATGGGCTAAGATCTTGCTACTTATATTCTTATATCTATTTTTTCTCTCTCTCTCCATTTAAAGACATCCTTCAAATGCTTTGCCACGATTTTGATTACGTTCTAGCTATCAATCTTAAAGTTAAGCACTGCCTCGTACTTCTAATGCTATAATTCTGTGACTCCGTAAGCAAAACATTCACTGCTGTCAAATATTCAACCTTCTCTGTGTTTTCAGATTGGAAAAGAAGTATCCCTGCACTAACTGTGATTTCAGTGATTTCAGCTATAGGAGAAGGTTTTCTTGTCAGCCCTACAGCTTTGTTCTTTTTCTCCTTCAGCTGCAGACAGATAGCAAAAGATGACATCTAAGCTGAATTCTGGCTTTTTTCAAAATCAAAGCAATAGGAATCTCTCACACTCCAGACTTCTGTGCCCAAACGCAGAATCACAGAATTACAGAATCACAGAATTGCAGGGTTGGAAGAGACCTCAAGAGATCAAGTCCAAACCCCTGCTAAAGCAGTACCCTACAATAGTTTACATAGGTATGTGTCCAGATGAGTCTTGAAGATCTCCATAGAAAGAAACTACACAACCTCTTTGGGCTGGAGCCTGTTCCATTGCTCTGTCACCTTTACCATAAATAAGTTTATCCACGTTAGTATGGAACTTCCTACGTTCAAGTTTTAGGCCATTACTTGTCATATTGCTATACACCACTGAAGAAAGCCTGGCCTCATCCATTTGCCTCCCACCACTCTTTGGATATTTATAAACATTAATCAGATCTCCCCTCAGTCTTCCTTTTCCCCAGGCTGAACAGACCCAGCTTACGCAGCCTCTCCTCTGATGGGAGATGCTCCAGGCCCAACACTATAGAACAAACTTCATTAATTCAGCTTTGGTCACTTGGAACCTATTTTATTTAACAGAGTCAGAACCTTAGTTTTCAGGAAGACTTAAGTATGCTTTACACTTGGAGAGTAATAAGAATGTGATCCTAAGGAAGTGAGATCACTAGACAAGATGCAATTTTAAATTGCTGTTATTTTATGATTCTTTTATACCTTAGGAATTTTTTAAGCCTTTGCAGCAATGCTCTCCTTGGCCCTCTGAGTGAATGTGGCAATACTCAAAGTACTTTTCAAGTCCTAGTACTGACATGGATGTCATCACGGAACAAGAATATCTCTGTGTAGCTTATTTTCCATCCATAATGCACCATTTCCCCCATGTTTTACCTCAGCTGGTGAAGTTTAAACATCTTGATGTTTTAAAAGTTTGGCCATGACTCTTCTCTAATTGCTAGGAATTGGTTCTCTAATTACTGGTAAAATAGACAGCATGTTCTATTTTGACTGGGGAAGTGATGCAGGGTAGAAATTCTCCTGACGTGCTTTTTGAAGCTCCTTACCATGTTACTTTTCAAGAAAAGATTTTAAAAATGCTTCCAGGAGCTCTGCAGCCCACTAAAGTGAAAAGCCTGTATGCTTGAGCACTCAGAAGAAATAGCATTTGCTCTATCCTGCCTCATGCCTGCTGCATACTGTTTTTCAGATGTTGAGAATTCCAAGGTGTTCCTCCACCCTTTCAGAGAAGGCAGTTTGGTGCACATTGTTTCATAGCAGCACAGTGGGTTCTCAGATGGACTCTAAAGGTGGAAAACTATAATTTGTTCTAGTGTCAGAATAAGAATTCACAAAATTCACATGAGTATAATCATGGTTTTTCTCGCTTCTCAGCTTATCACTATGTCATTGTTCTTAATGAGCACCACCCACACATACAGAGATGCTGTAAAATGCTGGCAAAGAGAAGAAAACCCCATGGGCTGGCTTTTATGACAGCGCATTGCACTTTTCTATCTTATGACTGAAGAGGGCTTTTGAGATGCTGGCTCACAAGTGTCCAGCAACTCTGCTTGCATTCTGCTTGCTGGGACTGCAGCTGGGACGCTTGGGCCTGCTGTGTGTGACAGCAAAGAAGCAGGTAAAGCACAGCCAGCTTGCATTTGTAGATGGAAACTGCTGGAGAAAGAGGGTCAAAGAGATGAAGGGGACTGGAAGAAAATTTGTTAAGCTCTCGTATCTGAGAAAGGCCGTAGAGTGTGCAGCTCTGGGGGAGGAGAGCTTACTTCAGACATAGCCAAAATGAAGGAGATGAGGTCAGGTGAAAAACAGATGATAGAACTGGACCATGACTGCTGAGGTTACCCTAAGAGAACAGGGTTACAGGTGTGTACACTAAATGAAACAGCACTGGCTTCCACACTACTAGGCTGAGGTTTAGCAGCTGCATCTTACAGATGGGAAACATGAGATGCTCTTGATCTAGTATCTATCTTGTTTGTCTAAATGATCACAAGATGTTTTGGATAGGAAGCATCTCAACCTTCATCTTGTTAGGGGTGCTCAGCAAACAGGGCTCTGATGTACAGTTGGGTATTACAGCAGTATGTGACTTTATCTGGTTTGACAGAAGAGTCAGTGAGAGGAGAGCTGGGAGCGGAATGAAAGTACTCGGCCTAGACCAGTTGCTGGCTCGTGTTGCCTTACCTAGAAATGATCTCTCTAGACTGTGGAGCCATTTTGTTTATGCTGTGCTCAGTTACTGCCAGATTACATCACTTTTGTTTTAGTAGAATAACTTCTGCCAGCAGAAGAATCAGAAACAAAGACATTAGAAATTCACTACACTTACTGTTGTGGTGCTCAGATTTTTGCTGCTGGCAAAAAGGACATTTCAGGCAAAGCAATAAATCTTCCTCATAGCCTTAGCAATGCTACAAATAAAAAGTTGAGGTTGGAGTTGCGCAAACCTGTCTAAGATGAGAAAGAAGCAGTTGACCTGTTAGCCATGTTTGCTCTGATGCTAAAAATAAGCCCCAAATAGCCCAACACTTTAAAGTAATAATAATTTGCCTACTAGATTTTTATTTTAAATAATGCAGAGATTGAAAATGTAAGAAACATTATTTTCTCACTAAACTAGGTGACTAATTCTGGTGTTCATATTGTAATCAACATTCCTAGTGTTTGTTGTAGGAAAAGATGAAATGTATTTTGAAGCAGACAAGATTCAAATTGATGCAGTACTGAACGGAAGTGAATTTCATTGTTCTCTGCTGAGAGGAGCCCAGGCCCTCCCCCAACACTTACTGCTTGTGAAATGAATGAATTTTCAGACTTTGAAGGAAAGAATCTCCAACAAACTGCAATTTGGATTCCTGCTGTGTTTTGGAGACATGACCATTACCTAAGGAAATTGATGTAATGTCCCAGCGAAGGAAGAATAGGCTCATGTCTCTTTTTGCCTTTCTTTACAACCTCATCTCCAAGTCAGCTGTTCTGTACAGGGTTTAAATTAGGGTAGAACTTGACTTTCATTCACTCATGTTTAAACCTTCTGCCTTAGAAGTTATTCTTGGAGAAGAAACACGACTATCTGTCAAACACATTTCCACTGTAACTCCAATGAAGACAATGAAATTATAGCAGGAGTTAACTTGGTTTATAAACTGAGATTGTCAACCACATAATTAATCAGTTTCTTTGGGACTTGTGTGGCTAAGGTCCTTTCCCAGCTTTAAAAATCTCAGTCCGTATCTTTTTGGAACATTTATATGTATACACACCATTGAGTTTTGGTTTAGATCTTTGTTTGGATTTAGTAACATAAATGGCTCCGGTAAAATTTATAGTCTGCCTGAATACATATCTTCATGATTCTGTTACTGTTCCAGCTAATACAGA